CTCTTAGATCTATGGGAATAGATATGACAAGCCCATAGAGCTCTGGGTGATCAGGGGCCAGGGTTAAGACTAAGGGGTTTGTAGAGATCTGTACCAGTTGTGAGCACAGTTTTGCCTTCTGCAGACATCTAGGGCAGGGGGTCTGGTCCTTGTTTAAGCTGTGTTTGTTATTCCTGCTCCCTTACTCTCATGTGAAATGTCCTTCTAGTCTGCCGTTGCGCTCCTTTGGTCTATGGGACAAGGGCTCTGGGCCAAGTTTGAGGACCTGGGGGTGAGAGGGATGTGTGTGTGTGTGTGTGTGTGTGTGTGTGTGTGTGTGTGTGTGTGTGTATGACACTCCAGATCTCATGGCTGCCTTGTGGGCAGAGGTCCTTTGTAAGTCACCTCTCTGAGCCCGTTTTCTCACTCAGTGGGGCTAGACTTGAGACAAAAGTCAAGAAGGTGATAAGTTGTTGAGAACTCCCTAGAAGCCCTTGACTGCACTTTGACATCCCCAGGGAGTGTGTGGGGAAGACTGTGGAGGAGCAGTGCCCTGGCCCTTCCCACAGGAGCCCTCACAGGCCGGGTCAGTATGGTCGTGTGTGGTTGTCCCCTCCCCAGCGCTTAGACAGGTATCTTTGTGGTCCCAGTGAGAATACTTGGTCCTCAACCTGAATGACCAGAAATGAGTGCTTCTGCCCTGATTCTGTAGGACAAGAGGGGTTGAAGACTTAGTGCAGAAGGAGGTGTGTGTCCCACACACGTGCCACCATTGCTCCTGGCTTCTGGCCTTGGAGAGAGCTGTCTCCTCTCTGCAGTGCCTACTGCCTGCCTCTGTCCCTGGTTAATAATTTAGCATCTCATTCATATGAATGAGGAGCTGAGTGGTGGTTTTATAGTCTTCAAACTGGAGAGAACAGGGCCCAAGAGTGGGAGGGTTAGGACACTGAGCCATTCTCCAGCTCCAGGAGTGGCCTTTCCAGGTGACCCTGCCCCACTTCTCCCCTGGAGAGAGGATCTGTCTCCATCCGGGCTCACAGAACCATGTGATCACAGGCCTCAAACAGGAAGGCAGGCTAGTGACACTGGAGAATCTGCCTTTCTTATTCATCCAGTCTGTTTGTGCCTTGGCCTAGAGGTAGTATTTGCCTGTTAGCAAAGCTCTGTTGGTCCTGAGAACTCTTCTCTAGCCCCAGCTCCAGGTAAGGACAAAGTTTACACCTCTTCATACCCTGGATGTTTAACAGCCCGCTTAATAGTCATGTCACACTTGGCAAGCACCAGTCTTGCTGTGAATAACCAACTGAGTCAACTCTGACTCATGGGGACCCCCTGTGTGTCAGAATAGAGCTGTACTTCGTAGGGTTTACACTGGTGCCTTTTTTGGAAATAAGTCATAAAACCTTTCTTATGAGGTCCCTCTGGATGGAATCAAACCCCCAATCTTTGGATTTGCAGCCAAGCCAGCATTTTAACCATTTATGCCATCCAGGGACTCACATATTAACCCTTTAATCCTTGTCAATATCAACTTTCTGAAGCAGCTTTCATAAAGGGGCTCTGGTGGCCTAGTGGTAAGGAGCTGTGCTGCTGTCCCAGAGGCACACAGTTTGAATCCACCAGCAGCCCTTCAGGAGAAAAGATGAGTAATCTCTTCCCATACAATTTATAGCCTCTGAAAACCTGCTGGAGGATCAACTATGTGTTGGTTCCAACTCAATGGTACATCACAACAACGATCTTCATAAGGACCCTATGGAGTTGTTACCATCGTTATTCTCATTTTGCACTTGAGAAAACTGAAGCTAGAGAGATTAAGCGAGAAGTCCAAGGTCATGTAGTTTAGTTGGATGGTTGAGCTGGAATTTCAGTCTGGGTCATTTGGACCTAGAATCCAGGTTCATACAAAATACCTTGTGATGAGAGTGGACAACCAAAGTCTTAGGTGACTGCTGAGAGTGCCAGGTAGGCAGACCATTACCCATTCCCAGTCCTGAGGCCACACTGGAGAAAGTACACAGACTTTGTCTGGACCCAACAGTACCCACAACCAACTAGACGTGACGACTTTCCCAAACTGGAGGTGGCGTTCTAGTGATCGTGATCTCAGACCCTAAAGAATCTCATCCCTCAGGGGTTACTGAGACTGGACTCTGCTCTTGGTTATGGGGTCTCAGTGGCCCGTGCCACCTGTTCCATCCATGGGAGCCTCAGGACAGGAAGGACACAGCATCCACCCACTGACTAAAAGTATAGAAATAACCCAGGGGACGAGCTGAAGGGCAGGGATGGATCTGGAAGCCAGGAGTGCTCATCTCCAGGACACCTGTTTCACTGCTGTACCCTCTTGGGCACAGCAGCTTCTCTCTCTAGACCTCAGTATTGTCATCTGTAAAAGGACAGAACTGGAGCAGCCATCTCTAGCATGATTTCTAGTGTCCATTCACCAGTTATGAATATTTACCCTGAGCGATACGTAATTTGAAGGAGTCCAGTGGCTTAGTGATAAGTAGTTGTGATGCCAACCCAAAGCACACAGTTCAAATCCACTAGCTGCTCCTGGGAGAAAGATGGGCAGTCTCCTCTCCTAAGAGTAACTGCCTCTGAAGACCCACTGAAGGGTTGGCACAGGTAGGTTTTGACTCAGTGGTACTCACGACATGCTGAGTTTGAGGGAGGGCCCTGACCAGTCAGATCAATTAGGTGACCAGGCCAGCTGAGGACTGATAGTTGCCACAGCCTAACCTCCCTGCACCCCAGAGGAGGTAGGGACTGTCTGTCCCGCATGTGAGGGGATCAGATGGTAGAGCAGACCACAGGGAGAGGCAGGCTGATGCCCTGCACCTTGTCTACCTCCGAGATGTCCAAGCAGGCCGTGGGTACGTGGTCTCTGGAGGAACTGCTCTAAGTGCTGGCCCTACATGACACAGGAGGCTCAGGCCCACAGCCCACTTGGGAGCCCCTGCTCCTCTTTGGGAAATTATCGTGTCAAGATCTAGAACTTGTTCTGCAGCAAGGAGGTAGCACAAACAGGTAAGCTCTCTGCCCCTAACCAAAATGTTGGTGGTTTGAACCCGCTCAGAGATAACTTAGAAGAAAGAGTCAGCTCCCTGTTTTGTACAGCTCTCCTCTGCGTCATAGGGTCACCACGAGTGAGCAACGGTGGTGTTTGACTTTCCCCCACTCTCTTAAAGGAAGCACAGGGTGGGATTGGAGGCTGTTGAGAGTTCATGTCTGGGCTTTGAGGAAGGGCTGAATCCTTGCGAATGGAAATAGGGCTTCCTGTCCTCCTTCTTCCTCCACCCTAGGGGCAGAGGAACCCTAGGATAAGTTTCCAAGGTGTAGTAGCCACCTCTCTCCAGCCCACCATCCTAGCTCTGCCCCAGACCCTGTCCCCAGAACCTTGCCCTTCCTCACACTGTTTTCTTCACCCTTCCCTACCCTGCCTTGCTGCCCTTGGGGTGCCCCCCATCCTTCAACTGTAATGTGACCTTTAGGCTTGGTGTGAGAGAGCATGGGTCAGGTCCTGGAAAATTCCTTAGCTTTTCTGTGCCTCAGTTTCTTCATCTCTATGCTAGGGACTGTGATCCCTAAACCCCAAAACTGACTCATAGCTGATCCTTCAGCGAGTGTTTTTCAGACTGTAAATTGCACTGGAGGAGATTGCCCTTCTTTCTTTCCTGGAGCAGCTGATGGATTTGAACAGCGTACTTTTGGGTTAGCAGCGCGGCTGCTGACCACTTGGCCACTAGAGCTCTGGGGATAGTTAGTGTGAATGAGTGTTGTGAAAATTCGGTTAGTTAATATATGTAAAGAGATTAGAGTAATACCTGGTATACCGGAGGTGCACAGTAGAGGCCTCTGCCGGTAGGATTTGTTATCATTATCATCCCGGGCTCCGCTCAGGCCTTCCCCCCGCTGAAGCCCAGGGTTCTCTGTTGCCTACTTCAGAAACCATTCTGAGCACTTAGCATTTACCACTTAAACCTGTTGCCGTCTAGTCGATTCTGACTCCTAGCAGCCCCATCAGGGCACAGTGTTTCTGAGGCTCTCGTCTCTACAGACGCAGGCTGCCAATTCTCTCTGAATGGCTGGTGGGTTTGAAACCTTTTTTTTTTTTTAAGGAGCTGTTTAACCACTGCACCACCAGGGCTCCTTTTGGCACATATAGTAACATAGACTAATTACCCAGTCTGTTCCAAGTATTTTCCATGTGCTGTCTTATTTAAGCCTTACAACAGCTCTGTGAGGCAGGATTATTATCCCCTTTTTAGAAATGAGGACACAGAAAGCCAGAAGCTTGCCCAGGGCCCCAGGGCAGAAAGACTGGGTATGCCCAGGGCCAAGGGGCGGGCACAGAAGACAGGGGGCGTATTGGGGAGGTTGGATTCCCCAGGGCCGCTGTGGTGTTTGCAGCGTGGATTCCAAGTTGTGCAAAGCTCCCTAACCTTGGCTACTAGGGAGCGGTTATTACTGAGACTTGGGCTGGGGTGGGGAGAGTGAGTGGCAGTGATGGTGCTTTCTCACGTCTGCTGGGACTGGAAGCTGTGGAGCAGGGCTGTCTGTGTTTTGAACCTCCAGGGACCAGTCTCTCGTCAGCTCTGAACCCATTGTCCTCTGTTCGCAGGGATGAGGGCAGGGTTTACTGCTTCACAGCACCACTTTCTGCTCCTTGACAAACACAGCACTGGTCCTGGCCCAGGAGGCCTGTGGGAGGGGGCAGCCTCTCCTTCAGTCTCCCTCCCCCAGGCCAGGTTGGTGGCAGGCAAAGGGCAGCCTCAGCCATAGCAGATGACCTGGGTCACTGCTTGGGTTCACTGGCTCTTCTGGGCTCTGGGAACTCTCCCTTCATCCCTCAGGCCTATTCTCCAGCTGCCTCCATGCAGAAAGCACTGGACAGGAGCCAAGAGATTTGGGTGTCTGCAGACAGGTGATGGGGTGTATTGTACCCTCTAGGAGGGTGGTAGGCTGAACCCAGGAGCAGCTGGCCTCAGGTTGTCCCCACCCTGATTTCACTGCAGACCGAGAGCGCATTGGGCAGGACTCAGCGTACGAGCAGGAGGGGAAGGTGCAGTTTGTGATTGATGCTGTATATGCCATGGGCCACGCACTGCACGCCATGCACCGGGACCTGTGCCCTGGCCGGGTGGGGCTCTGCTCGAGAATGGACCCTGTGGATGGCACCCAGCTGCTCAGATACATCCGAAACGTCAACTTCTCAGGTGCTGACCCTGCCCTCCCCCTGGTGTCCTGGACCAAGCAGCAGTCAGGGAGGGGGGCCTCCAGGGGTTGGATGAGGGCTGGCAGGTCTCCTCAGATGTTCCCAAAGGGTAGAAACTCCCAGGAAGTTTCCTGGAGAGGCCTCCCCAGAAATAATCTCTGTGCAAGGTGGTGGGGAGGCTGGGAATCCTCAGGCAAGACATCAAGGGTGGTGCCCTTTATAGGCATTGCAGGGAACCCAGTGACCTTCAATGAGAATGGAGATGCACCCGGGCGCTATGACATCTACCAGTACCAGCTGCGCAACGGCTCTGCTGAGTACAAGGTCATCGGCTCCTGGACTGACCACCTGCACCTCAGAGTAAGTGCCTGGCAGAGGGGAGGGAAGACCTAGGGGACAGGGAGAGTCACCCAGGACCTGTGAAGTCCTGGAGGAGGGACCTGGGGAGGCAGTGTCTGACACCCCTACTCTGGCTGTGAGCTGGGGTTTCCATTCCAATGGCCTTTCCACCTCAAAAGGGAAGAACAGGGCAGGCTGGGCTTCTGCTGCCACCTAGGGACCCTCTTCTCAGCCTTGGGCTTCGCTTTTATGCTCCTGCCCACTTTCGGGGGGAGATGAATTCATGCAGGAGTAAAATGGGCGGAAGGCTTGGTGGTTGTTAGTATGGTGAGAAGGGAGCAGATTTCATTTGGACAGAAGACAAAGTCTTGCAGAAACATGGCACAGGCCAAATGGTGGGATTTCTGGTCTTGGCTAGTAGGCTGGAAACTCTTCCAGTTACTCCCCTCCTGCCTCAAACCATGCAGATGATGACAATCTCCCTGCCTGTTGTAAGGGGAGCTTCCAGATCCCTCTAGACACCCTTTCTGGCCCATGGAATGTCCCAGGGATGTGATGGCTTTCCTCTCTGGCTCCCAGTGTCCTAGGCTGTGATGAAGAGCAGTGTTTTTGGAGAGAAGGGGCCTGTGTTCATTCCCCGAGGAAATGCCCTGTGAACTTGGCCCCTACCTCACAAGGGTGAGGGGCTGGGTACCATGTGACAGCGTAGACCATGAGGCTCAGGAGAACTTGGAATACCCCAATCCAATCTCCCGTGATCCTGGGAGATTGTGTCGTGGCTTAGCTATCTCCCCGTGTAATTGTCTTTTCCAGCAAGGAGCCTCTCAAGCCCTTCAAAGCACTTGCCGCCCATGATCTCATTTAGGCCCGATGATCTTCTGAGCCAAAAGAAGTGTCTTAAGAAACTAAGCCCTGGAGAGGCAGAGAGTTTTCCTTAAGGTCACTCAGTGTGGCAGGGCCAGAGCTGGCCCCATTCCTGTAATATCACCCAGAAAAGAGGGATGGCAGGCAGGACAGGCAGATGGGAGCACTTGGTAAAATGGGATGTTATCAGGAACATGCAGGCCTGGGCACAGTGGCGGTGGTGGTGTGGTCAGTTTTGGCACCTTCTGTGTACCCGCCCCTGTTCTAAGCATGCCACCTTATTGCAAGATGACAGACATGTGAGGTCGATGTTATTCTGCCCTTTATATATCTGTGGTAACTGAAGGCAGATAGAGTATATATGTATGGAGTCAGTCCGAGAGTCTCCTCTGTAATAACCAAGGCTCCTTTACCCAGTTAACCATCTCCATGACCCCTTGCTCCACCCTGGCCAGATCACGATGTCCCCTGTCCTCTGTTACCCCCTCCTCTCTAAGGTGCAGGTGGGGCTGAGATGGTGGGGAGATGTAGGAAGGGGCTGGCTCTTACTTGTCACACCGTCCTCACTTTCTCCTTGAACAGCTCAGTCTGGGCTGTGCTGTGCTGTGCTGTGCTGTGAGAGGCGTGGAGCAGGCAAGGCTCTGGGGTCTGAGGAAAAGACCTCACCAGCCTGGACACAGTCTTCCTGCCAGATCTGAAAGTGAGGGCCCCCTCATCGTCAGTGCCCTCACCTTGCTTCATGGGCACAGTCATCCCTCCATAGATTCCACAGATACTTCCTGGGTCCCTATCACATGCCAGCCCTGCTCTAGTGGCTGCTAACTCAGCAGTAAGTCGGGAAATCAAGGCCAAAACCCTTGCCATCGTGGAGCTGACGTCCTAGTGAAATGCAGTCAGATTTCATTATTTGAAGTGGTTGTGTTCTATGAAGTACCCATGAAGACCGCATTAGTCAGTAATGAGTAGCCTTGGTTGCTCTCAACTGAGGTGTTTCTCCACCCTGCTCATGTGCAAGTCTGGGAGAGTGCCCAGAGGATTCTTAGTGAAGTTTGAATCCACAGGCCATTGCTGATCGATGGATAATTTCTATAACAATATCCCATGACTTCTAAATGGAAGTCACCCTCAGGAACAAAGGATTCTGTGGCTCCATGTCCACTGCCATTGTATCGGATAGGGAAACAAAGGCTCAAAGGCATCAAGACCTTTGCAGAAGGGCCCACAGTCAGGTAACAGTGGGACTGTGATCCGCTCTGATAAGAAGAACTTCATTTATGCATTTTTCCTTCTACCAGAAATCAGTTTGAAAAACCAAAGCTGTTATTAAACAGGTTCTGATTCATGGGGACTCCGTGTGTGCCAGGGTACAACTTGGTTCCACAGGGTTTCCAATGGCTCAGTTTTGGAAGTCAATTTCCGGCTCTTTCTTCTGAGTGGGTTTGAGCCTCTGGGTGGACTTGAACTCCACGCTTTTGGTTAGTAGTTGATCATACTGACTGTGCGCACTTCACTTTCCATTGGAATCATAAGTTCCATATGGAAATTATCTCCCCACCCATATGGCCCTGTGTGCCCTAGGGAAAACACTCCCTGCAGCTCCAGCACACAGGATTTCCCTGGCCTGGAGGATGGCTGCACTGGACATTCATGTACCCTAAGGCATTTAGGGAAACATACAGCCTTGAGCCTAGAGCCACAAGACATCCTTCTTCCTTGAGATTTTCTTCCCACTGCACCTTGAGGCCATCTTTGGATTTCCTTCCACATCCCTCTTTTTCTCTCAGTTCTGAAAAACCTCCCCATGTCCTGAACCAACTGGTTATATTTTCTGCAGGAGTGAGAGACCCACAGACACACAAGTACAGCACCAGGCTGGTCAACTAGCTGATTTCCACGAACAAACTCTTCCCCGTGTTCAGAGCTGACTTTTTAAAATAAGCCTCCTGAGAACAGCCACACTCCCTTTGCCTGGTGCTTCAGCTTTTTTGGGCCTTTCGTGTGCTTTCCAGAATACTGGAACACATTCCGAAAGGCGTTACGGCACTCCTGTGGCTCCTTTGCTTGCAGTAATCGTGTCTTCAGAGACACGTAGCTGTGACTAGCACTAATTTGAAACAAGATGCACGGAAATACCAATCCCTTGGCACTCCTTAAGAGTTTGGGTGACAACAGTTAAGGGCATAGCTGCTAACTGGAAGGTTGGTGGTTCGAACCCACCAGCAGCTCTGTGGGAGAAATACCTGGCCATCTACTCTGCAGAGGTTAAAATCTAGGAAACCCTAAGGGTACAGTTGTCTTCTGCACAGTGCATGGGGTTACTGTGAGTTGAAAATCAATGTGACTGACACCAAATAGTTTACAATTAGACATCCTCTGACTTCATTATACTCCACTCAACCCAACTCCTCATGGGGAGGGCAGGGAGGGTGCATCATGGGCCCAGACGGAAAGGGCACCATGGGCCAAGCTGTGTGGAACAACAACCCATCTCCATTTTCAACATGCTCACAAGTCACCTGGAAGGGAGGTGTCTTGTGAAAACTCAAGATTTTGAGTCTGCTGGTCTGAGGTCGGGCTGAGATTTCTATCAAGTGTGGGATGCTGATGCTCCCAGCCTGGGGACCTTCCTGAGTAGGATACCCCAAGTGGCTGGGAGGCAGGACTTCTGAAGCTCATCCTGCTTGGCCACTGGTGCTCTTTGGGGCTCGGCTTCTCCATCCATCCTTTCAGAGTGTTGAGTTGGCTTGGGCTTGGTCAGCTGTGTCGGAATGAGGTGAGGGAACTTGTTTAGATCTAGCACAGTTTGATGGGTTCCAGCTTGATTTTTATTCATTTAACATATGGGACTGCTAAGTAAAAATTCAGCAGTTTGAATTTGCCAGTAGCTCTGAGGCGGAAAGATGGGTGGTTGTTATTATTGTTGTTGTTGTTGTGAACCATCAAGTCAGAATGGTCCCATAGCTGACCCTCCAGTAGGCTTCAGAGGCAGTTAATCACACAGGAAGAGATTGCCCATCCTCTCACAGAGCAGCTGCTGGACTCGAACCATGTCCCTTTGGGATTGCAGTGCAGCTCCTTCCCATGAGGCCACCAGAGCTCCCTAGAAAGATGGGTAATGTCCTGTAAAGATGGGTAATCTCCTGTAAAGATGGGTAATCTGTAAAGATTTATAGCCTTGGAAACCGAGCACAGGGTCCTTGTGAGTAAGTTGGAACTGCATCAACAGCATTGAGTTTGGTTTCGGTAACTGGGTGATTCAGGTATAGGGCTTTCCAATGCCACGCAGTGGGAGGCTTCGGGACCCCAGGTGACATGTCCTGAGGCTGGCTCCACGGTGCTGTCGTTGCCAGATAGAGCGGATGCACTGGCCGGTGAGTGGACAACAGCTGCCCCGCTCCATCTGCAGCCTTCCCTGCCAGCCGGGTGAGCGGAAGAAGACAGTGAAGGGCATGCCCTGCTGCTGGCACTGTGAGCCCTGCACGGGGTACCAGTATCAGGTGGACCGCTACACCTGCAAGACGTGCCCCTATGACATGCGGCCCACAGAGAACCGCACGGGCTGCCGGCCCATCCCCATCATCAAGCTCGAGTGGGGCTCGCCCTGGGCCGTGCTGCCTCTCTTCTTGGCCGTGATGGGCATCGCCGCCACGCTCTTTGTGGTAGTCACCTTCGTGCGCTACAACGACACTCCTATCGTCAAGGCCTCAGGCCGGGAGCTGAGCTACGTGCTGCTGGCGGGCATCTTCCTGTGCTATGCCACCACCTTCCTCATGATTGCCGAGCCCGACCTGGGCACCTGCTCGCTGCGCCGCATCTTCCTGGGGCTGGGCATGAGCATCAGCTACGCTGCCCTGCTCACCAAGACCAACCGCATCTACCGCATCTTCGAGCAGGGCAAGCGGTCGGTGAGCGCGCCGCGCTTCATCAGCCCCGCCTCCCAGCTGGCCATCACCTTCAGCCTCATCTCCCTGCAGCTGCTGGGCATCTGCGTGTGGTTTGTGGTGGACCCCTCCCACTCGGTGGTGGACTTCCAGGACCAGCGGACGCTCGACCCCCGCTTTGCCCGGGGCGTGCTCAAGTGCGACATCTCGGACCTGTCGCTCATCTGCCTGCTGGGCTACAGCATGCTGCTCATGGTCACGTGCACCGTGTATGCCATCAAGACGCGGGGCGTGCCCGAGACGTTCAACGAGGCCAAGCCCATCGGCTTCACCATGTACACCACCTGCATCGTCTGGCTGGCCTTCATCCCCATCTTCTTCGGCACCTCACAGTCTGCTGACAAGGTGAGGCTCGGGCTGGGGCCTGGTGGGTGCTGGGTGAGGATGTGAATGGCATGAAGGGCAGCAGAGCAAGAGTGCGGCCTCCTGCCACCCGGGAACAGCCTTTCCTCCTGCTCCACAAATGCCTCTCCCTCCCACCTCTCTTCTTCCATCTCACTTCTTCCCTCCTAATCTTTCTCCTTCCCTCTTTCTACTCCCCCCATTTCTCTTTCCTCCCCTCCCATCCCATTTTTCTCCTGTTCTTCTCTCCTTCCTCTCCCCCTGTCCATTCCCCTGGGACGCTGCACCTGTTTTTATTCTTTCTTTTATAGATTATACTTCCCCTTACCTGTCTTCTTCCTTAGCCCCATCCTCCATTCTGCCCACCCCTTTCTCTTCCCTCCTCTGTTCACCCCACTCTCTGGGGACCCCCTTGCCCTAACCCCAGTCTGCTCCCAATTATGGAAGCCTGGGGCCTGGCAGTGCCATCAGGGCCCTTTCCTCTTTCAGCTGGAGGCCTGGCTGTGTCAGGCCGTTCTGCTGGCGTGTCCTGAGGCTCCGAGAAAACCCTAGACTCTTCCAGACTCTGCCTGCATCCCAGCACCAGCAGTACCAGGAAACTCAGAGGCCTTTATTTTAAAGGATCGAGGGGGATGGTCACTGAAAGCCAGCGTCCAGAAACAGGGAATCACAATGGGAAGGAGTGTGCTTGGCCAAGTTTCATGTCTAGTTGAGAGACCTGGGGCAAGCCTCCTGGACTTCTGGCTTCGGTTTTTTTCAATAACTTGTGGCCATGATCTTTTCCCTGCATCTCTTATAGGGTGATGTGACAGCCAGACAATGTAATAGATATAACAACACTTTATACCCTGTGAGTCGATTGGAGAGGTGGGAGCTGACAAAGCCAGAGAAGGGTGGTAAGGATAGGGTCAAAGACATAACCAGGCAGTGGGATGGGACTGAGGAGGCTGTGGGAAGGATGCCGGCTTCTACTGTGAGCGAGAGGGAACTACTGTGGGTTTCTGAACAGATGAGAGACGTGGCCTGAGCTAGGTTTAAAAAGATCCTTCTGACCACTGGGTGATACATTAAGGAGGGCAAGTGCAGGAGCAGATGTTTTAATATAATAACTTGGACAAAATGTGATGACAGCCTGGACCATGGTGTTGACAGTGGACAGTGGGCAGCAACTGTCAGGATTTCTGATGAATGTGAGGTGGGAGACAAAGAGGAGTCAAGGATAACATCATGGTTTGTGGTCGGAGAATCAGAAAGAAGGGGTTTCCATCTCTTAGGATCTTAGGATGGGAAGACAATGAAAGGAGCCTTAATGGAGCGTAAGGTGAGCATGTGAGATGTCATTGCATATCCAAGGGACACCGTCAAGACCACAACTGAAACTTGGTTGAATCTGGAGTTGTGAGGTGAAGCCTGCACTGGAGGTGTAATTGTGGGAGTGGTTAGCGTATGGATGGTATTGAGAGAGGCACCTGAGTGTAAGCTCTGAGGAGGGTTTGACTTCCCAGATGAGGTGCTCATCACATGACAGATGCTTTACCTAGTGATAGCCATGTCTCACTGCAGCCTGGTAGACATCATTGCTATCCTCATTTATAAAAGATGACATCGACCTGGTCAAGGTTACACAGCTGGTAGTTGGCAAGCTAATTTTGACCATTGGTGGCTCTGTGGACTGGGGAGCTCCGAGCAGCAGACTTAGGGGTTAGCAATGAAGAGTTTGAAGTTTGAGACTAGAACTGGATCCAGGAAGGTAAGACCACTCTGGACATTTGAGCCGAAGCAGCTGTTCCCTGCGCTCAGCTCCCCCTGTGAGTGGCCTTCAGGGAGCTCTCCCTGCCGAGGGCAGGTCCTGGTAGGACCTCGATACTCATTAGTGCCTGTAGGGCCCATAAAACCAGCAGAGGAGACCACTAAGGAGCTGGTAGTTTGTGAGATTACCCTCAGCAATGCCAGGAGACCCTTCCCCAGGGTGTAAGAGTTGACTGGGAGTGCACCTTTCCATAATTCTCTTCACTGTCTGACAGAACTCTGATCCCCAGCAGGGTCCTTATCAGACCTGAGTATTAAAGTCTTACACCTCCAGGTGGTGGGGCCCAATCCCCCTTTCTTTCCAGATGACCACTGCCTCTGATTTCTTCATTTTTAGGAGGCTCTCCTCAGCCCCACGAATAAGCCTCTGAGATGACCTCCTCTGAGAGAGGAGTAGGGATTGGCCCGGGGTCACAGAGCAGGCTGGTTTCACCCACATGGCTTGAAGGACCTACTACACTGTGCCCTGGGTTGACCACATGATGCAGGACACATTGCTGGCCTCTAGGCCAACGTCTCTGACTGTATGAGAACAGAGTGGACAGATGAGTCCTGACATTCCTTCTGGTCCAGGCAAGCAGGCCTCTTAGAGGCCAGACCAGCTCTGGGGTTGTATCTGTGCTGTGATATTGAGTACAGACAGTCCCAGGAAAAGCTGCAGGCCTGGTTGCTGTGGAGGTGCAGAAGGAGTGGGGTGGGACTGTGAGCATTCCTGCTATGTGTCAAGACGTATGCACGTACAGACGTGTGAGTGTGTATGCTCAGGACTGTGCATGTGGACAGATGTATGCACAGATAGGCTTGTTTGTACAGGTATATGTGTGCACGTGGTCTGTGCACAGATGTATGTGAGTGTACAAACTTGTGCACAGGTGCATGACAGGGTGTGTGTATATGAGCCCAGGTACATAAAAGCCAGGAAGAAGTGTGCAGCTGTGAACTCGGGTGTGTGTGTGTGTGTGTGTGTGTATGCATGTATGTATGTGTTAGAGCTTGTGCATAGAGGTGTGTGTGAGCAGATGTGCATGCATGCTCAGAGGAGTGTGCAGACAGGTGTGTGCCTGCACGTGTCCGTGCTTAGCTGAGCACGTCCCTCGAGGTTCAGATGCTGTTGCAGAGTGAAGCTGTCTGTGCCGCTCTGCTGAGCATGTGGACGGATTTCTTAGCATTAGCCCGGATTTCCAGGGCTTAACATCGCAGCCATTTGGCATTGCTCTGAGCCATCAGAGCAGTTTCTCCACTGTGTGGGGTTACTGTTCACCCAGGCTCGGGCAGCTAGGGCCTGGAGGCCAGCCAGACTTCGGAGAAATCCATTGTCTGGTCTGTACAGAGTCTAAAGATCCCAGGTTGGTCTGGGCAGAAACACAAGGCAGAGTGGGCAATGCCCCTTAACCAGGCCCTTTCAGGGCCCTTCTACCCTGTGTCCACTGTCCATGTCTCTAGCTGCTGTTTTCAGTGGTCTTTGTTCCACCCCAAGGTGACATCCATCCTCCTCCATCATAACCAGCTCTGACAACTTCCTACCTTCAGGGGATCTTATAATTAATGAGAATCCTTAATGAAGATTCTCTGTAAATACAGGGGGTGTATAACAAGAGCTTGACTGAAGAGGGTAAAAGGTAGAAGTTTGGGTCTCACTGAGCTGGGTAATGTGTGAATGGGAGAGAAGGTGAAATCACATCCCAAAGGCGCTCTCTCCGTCTGCCTTTCTCTAAGTCCCTTATTAGAGTCCGGGTGCCACCCCTTCATGGGTGCCTGCTGTTTCTGGAGGACCTGCTGTTTTCTAATAAGGACTAACAAGTAACCCCTTTTGGTGATGGTGTACACAGGTACTTGGGAAGCAATGTTCTGACCTGAGGCAGGCGTCTGTGGTAGGGTGGGAATATTAGACCCTGGAGCAAGAAGACAGGAACTGCAGATGGGGAAACTCTATTTCTGGCACAAGTTGGCCACCCCTCAAAAATCTTAACTTCCAAGGAGTTGGCTGGCACTCATGGCCAAAGAGCATATGGGTGTCATTCACAGATGTGATTCCTTGCTTTTGCTCTGCCTTCCACAGAAAGGCGACCCTGAGCCTGAGTGGCTGTGCTCCTCAAATGTTCCAGAATGACTGGAAAAGTTGACAGGGCTAGGAGGGAGAGGCCTCAGCAGATAGAGTTCCCCAGAGTGGCTTTGCTCAAGTTTGATCTGTTTACACTCTTCCTTTGATTTCTGTTTGCAGAAAGGGCTCCTGGGTTGGAAAACAAAATAGGACAGAGCACCCAGGACTGTGTGTGTGCTCTGTGTTCAGGGTCAGTTACATAATTTGCAGGGCCCAGAGCAGGCTGAAAATGTGAGGCCTCTTGGTCCACAGTTACTGAGAATTTCAAAATGGTGACAGAAGAACATTAAACCAAGTGGGGGACATTTTTCAGCACGGGTGCAGCTGCTCTGACTGTGCACGCTAGCAGTTGCCCCTGTCTGTGTGAATGGCGGATCCCTGCAGCCTGGAGAGGGGGACCCAACCATCATCCCCTAGTGGGTCAGTGCAGAGTGGGATCTGGAACCCAAGTACCCAGCTCCCATGCAGAACTGGTAACTTCCAGAGAGGGGAGACCTCTAACCCTCAGTTCTAACAACCCCACAAACACCCAGTTGCATTGTTTACTAACCAGGCTAGGGTGGGGAAAGGGTTTAGATAGGCATCTGACCTGGAAATATAGCCTATTCTCAGGGGCTTCCAGTCTGAGTGGCGAGGCAGCCCCTCCTGTGGAATAGGAGAGGGGACACCACTCTCAAACTGCCTTTTCATGTTCCTTCCTGTTGTCCAGATTCTGGGGAGCGCTTCTACACCCCTGGGTGAGAATGTGGCTGTGTGTGAGTTCTGGGGAAGTTCTGTCTCAAGTGGTGTGTGCTCCCTGGGGAATAGGCTTATTTCCTCTGAGGTTGTGACATCTTCCTGGAAGATGGCAACTGAAACAACCTCATTGTACTTTCAGCCTCCCCCTAACCCTCCATGGAACCTGGTTGTCTGGGCCACCACAACCTGGATGTGGGGCTTTGAGAAGCTTGGCCTTTTGGCTTGGGATGGTCTGGCTGTGACCCCATGTCCTCTTCCCATTTGCGACCACTAATCCATGAGGATTCACAGTCTGTCAGTGGGATAGCACTGTGGTTTGGGTGAAACCGGGGCTGATGAGGAAACTGAGGCCCAGAGAGGAGGCAGCACTTCATCAGGGTCACACAGCCTCCAATCTGCCTCTGCCTTTCTTTTCCCAGCCTCTCTCCCAAAGGCAGGAAACCTGGGAAGAGGGGTCATGAAATGCTTATGGAGTGGACAGGATATGGGGAGAAAGAAAAATGTGAAGGCTTGGCCCTGCTTCAGGGAGCTACCAGGGAAGCCAGGGTCCCTGTCACTTCCAGGAGTGAGTCCATACCTGTGTTGGTCTGAGGTGCAGGATGAAGGGTGCTGTTGAGGGTCCGAGAGACCAGGAGTAAGAGAAGGCTTCCTGGAGGATGTGGCATATTAGCCAGACTCCAGGGGTTAGGAGCAGGTTCAGAAACAGGAGACGAGGTTGGGGACAGAACATTTCCTTTCTCTCAGTATTCAGTCCTAGGGGGTACAGCCTGGGTCCCCCCTGATATCATCCTGGCCCAGGGAGGGCCAGAGGGGCCGTTCAACCTTGAGAGGACCTGGGCAGAGGGAGGAGGCAGGGAGGGAATCCCAGACGGAGGTGGTGGAGATTGTTTGTTGGGCGCTGCCTAGAAGTCCCCACTATTGAAGAATGGATTATCCGACACCCAGATTAATGGGTTTTCATTTTGCTAAACATCTGTCACCGTTAGTACTGGCGAGCGAGCGTGAAATGAGCTTTGACTGTGCTGCCACTGTGGATCTCGCTGGGCGCAGTGGCTCCCATGCCACCGGCCTGCTCAGCCCTGATAGCATTTGGGGGGGCAGCACTGAGCATGAGGGCGGGGTCCACAGGGCTGCATAGCACAACCACTGGGAGACACTGCGGGTGATGCAGTCAGTGTTTATCTCATGTCCAGCCTTGTGCAATTCTTGAGAGAATTGTGGTCCCCTGAGGGCCTCTGCTCTGGTCTGTCTCTCCTGAAAAGCATATGACAATTGCAAATACACACATGGCATTTACCATGGTCAGGCATTGCATTTTACATACTTTTCTCACATGTTAAACGGTTAAGCATGTGTGAAAAGTGTGTAAATCCTCTCACTAGCCCTGTTCCGTAATTATTATGCCCATATTACATGAGGAAATCAAGGCACAAGGACACATTAGTTCAAAGGAGTAATTGGAGCCAGGATTTGCACAGAGGAATTCTGATATAAGGTTCCAGCCCATTCCCCTAACACCACGTTCCCTTCTGGTTGAAGCAAGCCGAGAGCACAGCGTGGTGTCCCAGGGGTCTGTCCACCCTGCGTCCACCCTGGGTTATAGCGCTGGGCTGGGTCAGGGCCCGAGAGGCCAGGGCTGAGCCCTCCCTGACGCTGCCCCCGGCCCGCCCCCAGCTGTACATCCAGACGACCACGCTGACGGTGTCGGTGAGTCTGAGCGCCTCGGTGTCCCTGGGGATGCTCTACATGCCCAAGGTCTACATCATCCTCTTCCACCCGGAGCAGAACGTGCCCAAGCGCAAGCGCAGCCTCAAAGCCGTCGTCACCGCCGCCACCATGTCCAACAAGTTCACGCAGAAGGGCAGCTTCCGGCCCAATGGCGAGGCCAAGTCCGAGCTGTGCGAGAACCTCGAGGCCCCAGGTGAGCTCCTGGCCCCGCCCCGGCCCCGCCCCTTGCATGCTGAATGTGGAGGTGAGCTGGGCCAAGCTTCTGCGGTTGGATGGGGCAGTGCGGGAGAGAAGAGGCGGGAGGGGAGGAAGACACGGACAGAAACCTAAGCCATGCCTGAGGGTCAGAGAATTCAGGAATAACCCTGAGGTGCCAGGCTCTGGTAGCCTTGAGGGAACCCCAGGGAACCCTTTCCATCTCTCCCTTGCCACACACTTCAGGGCTCTCTGTCTCATGTGAGGTGAAGCTTTGAGGGTGCTGGTTCATGCAGGTGATAGGAGACTCTGGAATTTGTCCATATAGGGTCTACAAGCAGCCCTGGTGGTATAGTGCTTAAGCATTCTCCTGCTAGCCCAAAGGTTGGTGGTTCAAACCTGTAACTACTCATGGGATAAAGATGTGACAGTCTGTCTCCATAAAGATTTATAGCCTCAGCGATCCTATGGGGCAATTCTACTCCGTCCTGTAGGGTTGTTATGAGTCAGCTCCAGCTTTGGGTCCACATTTCTGTCTGCCTCTTTTAAATCCCCCTGGGAAGAAAAAGTTGTCTGGAGGGGCTCCCTGTTCATCGGAAGGGAAGGCCCTGGTACTAGAAGATCCCTAACCCCCTAGCCTGACTTTGTCCAGTTGCCACTTAGCAGGACCCTGAGAAATGGAAACCCAGGAAGTGGCCTGGCCAGACCAAGATGGGTGAGGGGCTGTATCAGGGACAAGTTTCTCCGACTCCCATCCCCTGCCCCACCCCATCACTGTACCTATATACTCAAAGGACAAGTAATGGAAGTTACATTTCTTGAACCCTTAGTGTGTGCCAGACCTACTACATTCTAATTTTATCTCCCCTTGAAAGATGATTTTTTTTAATCATGAGTAATATATAGAGAGAGCAAAGACTCACAGAGGCTCCCAGGTTACATGGCCAGCAGGCGGCAGGACCAGGACCTGACCTCTACTGTGGTAGCTTCACCGCCTTCAGGTCCTCAGAGGGCTCAGGACTCAGGACTGTAACCTATGGGGAGGGCCTCCACGGGCCTCACTTGCTGCTGCTCCGAGTCAAGGAAGGAAGCTCTAGACCCAGGAGGTGTTGCTGTGGCCTCCCTAGCCCTACTCCAGGCTTTGGCTTCTTCTCTGGACACTGTAAATGACTCAAATGGCTTAAAAGACAACTCCTTCTGCCCTTTGCCCTCTCTGAGTGTGCTGGAGAGCTGTAGGCAGGAGTGGGGAGGGACTCTCCCCCACCCCACACGCTACCCAGGCTTTTAGACCTGCTTGTCAGCACTCTGCTTCCTCCCTCCATGTGGGAGAAAGGACAGATATGAACATATTTTTTATTCATTTTAATGAAAGTTTATAGAGACTTAGGGTTTCTAGTCATTCATTGTTGGACTTTTCTCTCTGACCACCCCTTTCCCCCCAATTCACTCTTCTCCTTGAAAAGTAAAAGAAAAACTCTTTCATTGTTATTCAGTCCCTCCCCCCAAGTCCACTCCACTGTGCAGCCTTCATTCTGGACTCTTGTCATGACAATAATACCCAATCACATATCCCTTTTGGACAGTTTTCTCCCTCATCTGTTTCAATGAAGTATATATCATTCCTTCCCTCCATCTCTGCCTTCCCTTAACCCCAATGTCAGTCCTGTTATAACAGTGGCCCTATGCAATATTTGTCCTTTTGTGACTGAGATATTTCACATAATGTCCTCCAGGGTCACGCATTTTAAGTAATATTTCATGAGTTTCTTGTTTTTCAATGCCGCTTAGTATTCCATTGTGTGAATATACCAGAGTTTCTCTATCCATTCGTTTGTTGATGGGCAGATATGAACATATTTTACAGCAGCAGGAGAGACCCAGGCTAGACTACAGGAAAGCCCAGAGCAAAGGCTCTAAAGGAGACCCTGCTGCCTTCTTCCAAGAAATCAGGAGAAACCAAAGACCTTCTCACCCCATATATTTTGGCTGAAGGCAGGGGACAGTCATCTCTTACGGGGTCCTCATCTGAGACTCAGGTGAAGTACCTCCCTTCCCGTAGTGGGGATGTTAACTGTGAACAGGAGGGGCATCCCTTCCCACATCCAAACAGGGCTCTTCTCAGAGCCCTCACTCCTGTTGAGTCGTCTGCACAGCAGGTATATAAAGCCTGGGGAGAGCAGGGCTTTTGATTCCAAGCTGAGACTCAGAGAGGGTGAGTCATTCTCCTGACCACACAGCATGGTGGTAGCCAGATAGCCTATGCACCTTAGTACAGTGTCTTTAATATAGTCTCTCTGTCTCTGGGGTCCTGAGCCTCTGTTGCAAGCAACATATTTGGGATTCTTGCACTGCTGCCTCTGAGCCACACTTCTGGTGTCTGAGCATGTGCCCATCCTCTTCCCCACTCCCTCCCTGGCCCAACATGTGCCTTTTCTCCCCTGCTGCTGCTTCCAGAGTGCTGGCTTCCCCCTACAGCCTGGGGGGGGGAGGGGTCCAAGCCCTCCACTTTGAGTGTCCCACAGTGCATGTGTCCTCACACAGGTACCCACAAATCCCAAAGAAGCCCCTAACACTTCCATCCTGAACACTGTCTCCCTTCCTGATCCTCTGCCCTGTTCTCCTTCCCAGGGAGACCCCCCCCTCCTTCCTGTGCCCATTCCTTCAAAGCCTGTCACACAGCTCTGCTCAAGTGCATTAGAGCCCCCACCCCCACCACAGGCGTCTAGCTGGAGCTAACCTTGACCCCAAAGGATGACCCTCATGGTTTTGAGACATGCCAGAGGGGATTACAGAGGCAGTGATTTCCACAGAGAACGCTGATGACATCGTATTGACATTTGCCATCTCTGCCTCTGCCTGAGGCAGTCACCTGGGATAGGGGACAATTCCAGCACCATGCCCCCAGTCAAAGAGGAATGTGGGGTGTGGAGAGGGGAGACCTAAATTCCCAGTCCCTGCTCCCTGCACGGAAAGATGAGCAACACCCCTCCTCCAGCAAAGGCCGAAGGCCAGTGCCCCTGTCCCCACTGTCTCTCAGCTCAGTGACAGCCGGGACCATGCAGCCACCGGGGTGGGACACGGGTGATTAATTCTGGGACAGCCAAGCTGAGAGGGTGTGCGCGGGAGGAGTGGGGAGGTGTCACTCCTGTGGAGTAGGGACATTTTTCACTCTGTCACCGGCAGGCCACGTATCTTTAAACAAACAACAGAATAAATAATTCAGGGGCCCGATTGCAGGCAGATTGGGCTCGGAGACACTGAGGCGACAAATGGAGGCTGTCAGCTCGTGCCTGCCGCTGCCCAGCTAATTGTTATCTGAGACAGCGGTGACTGAAAACCAGCAGCAAAGGCTTGTCATTCCAGTCCTCAGCCATGGCAGGAGTGGGGGTGGGTGCGTTCAGGGTTCCCTCCCCTCATGCCCTGTCCTCTCAGGTGTACTGAGGATGTTCCTGGAGTGTCATTGTCACTATCCTGTTGCATGGTTGTGGTTCTTTTAGATCTGCCCCTTTGCCCAGTATTTTTGCATGATTTAAAATGTATTCTCATTGAGCCCTTGCCTAGGAACCAGTTTCACAGATGAAGGAGTTGAGGCATCTAGGGCTCTGGACAGACTCATTGTTCCCATTTTCCAGATAGTGAGTCTGAGCCTCTGTTGAAGGACTCTGGGAGCCCTTGCTGGTGGTTGAGGGTTGAAAGCCTCCTGCTTTGTGCTGGAGCCCATGAATTGAGTTTTCTTGAAGCAACAGCTCTGTTTTCTGTAGCCTGGCTGGCCCTGGAGACAGGCCTCAGGCTCTCATTTGCTTGTCGTTGGTGGAGATTTTGCTGTTGCTGCTGCTGCTGCTGAGGTTTTCTTTCACCTCTGAGCCAGGAGCCACTGATGGGTTTTACAGGTTTGGAAACTCAATTTTATCAGTTCACCCAGGGGAGGACAGAGCTCTGGGGAATTGGTTCTCACCAGCCTTGCCTGTGGACGAGAGATTTTCAGTGCCACTAACTGGCTCTTTTCCTGATGGCAGGGGTAGAGGGTGGGTGATTTGTTCCTGAGAAGTCCAGGGGAGAAGTGCTACCTCTCTCACAAAACAGACAAGGAAACTGAGTCCCAGAAGGGAAGAGAAGAACCTGCTATGGGAGGTATTTGAGACCTTGTTGCAGCTAGAATCCAGGCTCAAGTCTCCAGGGTGCTGTTTATCCTCTCATCTCCCTTCCAGAACCTTCTACCACCCCTGGGTGTCCCAGATTCCAGCCACCCAGTTCCTTTCTCTGCGTGTGGCTTAGCACCCAGGTGACCTCCTGGATACTGCCATACCCAAACTGACCTGCCCCATGTATCTCCTTTGGTTATCCAGCCTCCTGAAGGGAGAATGGTCATGAACTTGGGGATACTTTGTGAATTGTAAACTTTTGTACTATGTTCCTATTTCTTCAATGCCATGGGCACATTATTCCATTAAGATCTATCCAGATAGAACTTGAAGCTTGAACATTCCCTGCCACTGCCCTGCCCCCGCTTGAATATTTCTACTGCCAGGGAGCTCACTGCCACATAAGGCTGCCCATTCCATGCTTCTTTCTTCCTTAAGCTAGGGTGAGCTCTGACTCTCATGCCTCCTCAGTGGCCTCTTGATTACAAGTTTGCCCCCTCCCCCCAACATGATCCTCTGATAGCTGCACGTAGCAAACTGGTTTATATTAGTATACTTCAAGTTACACGCTGTGATCAAAGAGGTTCCAGAATAAAATGCCTCAGATATGACAGGTGTCTCATTCTCTGTTGATTTAAAAGTACATACAGGATAGATAGAAGATAGAGACCCAGGTTCCTTCCATCTTTTTGCTCCATCAGCTCCCAAAGAGTCATGCTGGTGCTGATGGTTGAGACTGACTGATTGCCATGTCTAATCTGCCTGTGGGAAAAAGGAGGAAGAACGGGGGGTGGGGGGAGCAAAAACAAAAAAATCTCACAACCCTGCCCATAATCTTCACTCATATTTCATTAGTAAAAACACAGTTACATGGGCTCCCAGTTAGCTTCAAAGGAATCTGGGAAATGTAATCCTTTACTTGGTAGTCCTATAAATAACATGCCTCTGGAAACTCTATGAACTTTGATAAATGTCGATAGTTGTAGAGGGGCTTCAAGCCTTTTGTTCGTAGGGTCGCTGAGTCGTGCTTGACTCAACGCCAATCAACAACAACAACATGCCCAGCAAAACCTGGAGAGAGAATTGGAGGACTTACAGTCCACCACCTCAGAGCTGATAGAATTAGACAGTGGATCTATATAGCATCATGATTTTCTCCTTTCCACCTTCCTCTCTCCATACCAGCAGACTAGCCTCCAAGTCAACTAACGTTCTCCATCTCCTCCATCTCCACTTCCCAAGAAGACCCTAAGTACTATTGTTGTTTTGTGCTGTTGAGTCGCCTGCAACTTATAGCAACCCTATGTGCAGCAGCTCTGAAGCCTGCCCTGTCCTGAGCCAGTCTCACTGACTGACACACCTACCCCCTTGTATCAATCCATCTCATCCAGGGTCGTCTTCTCCTGCGCTGTCCCTCCACCCCTTTCGAACATGATGTTCTTCTCCAAGGATTGGTCTTTCCTGGCCACATGCCCAAATTAAGTAAGGCAGAGATTCAAAATCCTAACCTCCACGGAGAAACTTGGTTTCACTCTCTCCAAGGCAGACCTGTTTGTTTTCTTGGAGGTCCATGGTATGTTCAAGACTTTTCTTCAACATCACACCTCAAAGACATCACTTCTGTCATCCTTAGTCATTATCCAGCTCTCTGATGCATAACAAGTAATTGCAAAGACCATGGATTGGATCAGGCACACCTTGGTCTCTAGACTGATATTATTGCTTGTCAACACTCTGGAAAGTTCCCTGAAAGCAGATTTACCTAATGCAATTTGTCCTTTGATTTCTTAACTGCTGGTGTCAAGATTGTTCATTATGGAGCTGAGCAAGCTGTAACTGTTAACAATCTCATATGGAAGAGGTTGGGGGCTAGACCATTTGGTTCTGATCCGTCTAGTCTATTCCTTATCTGTTAAGTGGGATAGCACCACTATCAGTTGCAGTGAAGTTGATCCCACTCAGGGTGACCTCTAGTGTGTTAGGCTTTAACTGCTTCAAAGGGTTTCCATTGGCTGGTTTTTTAGAAAGTGAAATGCCAGGGCTCTTTCTTCCAGGGTACCTCTAAGTGGACTTGAAACTCTAGTTTTTGATTAACAACAAAACCAAAGTGCATTAATCACTTACACCACCCAGGGGCTTGTCAGATAAGATTTGTCCTCCTTTCTGAGCTGTTATGAAGTCTAAACTTGGCAGGGGTTGGCTGAATGGGTGGACACTCATGTTGCCTATAAAAGTTAACAGCAGCAGCAGTTGTGGAACTATCAGAGGAAGTGTGACCAGGAAATAGGAAATACTTGGACATGGGGCCCCAGTGCCAGCTGTGAGGGCCAGAGGGAAACTGCAGTTAAGGGAGGCTCAAGGCTAAGGCCAGATAGAAACCCCAGGGAAGGGGATACTCAGAGGGCTTTGGGGGTGCAGGAGGAGTCATGTGCCTTGGGTGTTAGGAGAGAGTTTATTCCTCAGTTTATAACCAGAACCATTCCTTGTTCTGGCAAGGCCCTATCTTGCTTGTCTTACTTATTTCCTCTGTCCCCATTCCACACGCACCCCTTCCCCTTTACCTCCTAGACCAACATCCCTCCCAAATAGATATGTGTATTGTCAAATATATTATATAGAATGTTTTAAAGGTATAATCTCAGTGTTTTCGTTCAAAAAAATATGTTTTAAAAAACCTTCCCTTTGATGATATTTTAAGGTTCTATAATATGTCATATTTTCAAGTATTATGGAATTAGGTAGCTATGTTGTTGTCATGTACCAGGGAGTGGGAACCAACTCATAGCTGACTATCCAGTAAGTTTTCAGAGGCAGTAAATCACACAGAAGGAGATTGCCCATTTTTCTCCCACAGAGCAGCTGGTAGATTTGAACTGTGTGCCTTTGGATTGGCAGCACCACTCCTTACCACTAGACCACTAGAGCTCCCTTAAGTTGCCATATTGCTGTTATTGTGTACTGGCAAGTCGGCTAACCCATAGCTGACCTTCCTTTGGGTTTTCAGAGGCAGTTAATCACATGGGAAGAGATTGCCCATCTTTCTCTCATCAGCTTGTGGATTCGAACTGTCTGCCTTCAGGATTGCAGTGCAGCTTCTTACCACTATACCACCAGAGCTCCCATAGGTTGCCATAGGGGAGTGGAATTGGGGATGGGAAGGCGGAGTGAACTAAGGGTTGTGATCTGTCAGCAGTTTGAATCCTCTGGTAGAAGGAGGTGGTAGGAAGTCTGCTGGGTGCTGTAGGTGGGTCTAGGGAGCCACAGGAAGTGCCTTCGGAGAGCGGTGCGTTGGTGGAAGAGGGCTGTGGAAAAGCCGCCCCCAGTGACCCCTCCTCCCTGTCTTTCCAGGGCTGGCCACCAAACAGACCTACGTCACCTACACCAACCATGCAATCTAGTGAGGCCGCTGGAGCCGCGCAGCGGGAGGACCCGGGACCCTTGTGGATGGTGCGTTAGGCCTGGCCCCCGCCTGCGGGCCCCGCCGATGTCCTGCCTCCCCGTGGGTGCCCACGGACATGGCTTGGTGCTGAGGACAGCAGAGCCCCTGGCGGTCAATGCTGGGTGACCTGGGCAAGCTGGGTGGGTGGCTGGAGGAGATTGAGGGGCAAGGACAACTCAGGTCTCAAGAACCTGGTCTGGGACCATTGCCCTCTGACCTCACACCACAGGGGCTCAGGTATGTGGGCCCAGTGTGGTTTTCCGCTGTCCTCTGTCAGTTCATGGGTGATTCTTTCTGTCGCTCTCTGCCTAGATTTCCTCTTATTTATTTGTCACTTTACCCCCCCCCCCCCGTATCTTTGTCTGTCTGTGTTCTTTGCTTTTTCTGTACCTTCTCTTTTCTTTCTGTATCTTATCCCTGCCTCCTTATCCACGCTCTGTCCCCAGTTCCTCTGTGTTTCTCTTCTGCCCCACCTGTATCTCTCTTCGCCTGTATTTTTCTTTCCACCTCTCCTCAGCCCTGCTCCTGGCTTTCACTTACGTCTACCTTCCTTGTCACAGTCACCAAAGCATACATGTTGCAAAAAAAAAAAAAAAAAAAAAGAAAAAAATCAAAACACAAAAAAGCCAAAACAAAAACAAAAATTTCAAGTGTGTTGCCAAGTGCTGCGTCCTCCTGGTGGCCTCTGTGTGTGTCCCTGTGGCCTGCAGCCTGCCCGCCTGCCCCCGCCGTCTGCCGTGTGTCCTGCCCGCCTGCCCCTCCTGCCAGCGACACGGGGTTCAGTGCCTGGGTGTCTGGTGATGGTTATTGATGACAATGTGTAGCGCATGATTGTTTTTATACCAAGAACATTTCTAATAAAAATAAACACATGGTTTTGCACCCTGGCTTCATGTCCACTGAGGGTGCCCGGCAGTGGAACCACGGGCTCAGCATAAGACAGGAGGGACTGGGAGGTGGAGATGCAAGGCTGGGACTGGTGGGGGCTGCCTCATGGAGTGGGGATGAGTGGAGTGGAGGGAAAATTCAAGTAAGAGACTGGGACATTGCAGATTTCAATCAGCACCTCGTGGTCCCAGAAGTAAAGAAGAGAGACTGTCCCTGCCCTGTAGCACTGGGAAGGGAAGTTCCCCTCACTTCCCTCATACTTGGGACAACCCCCTCCCAGCTCCTTCTAGCCAGGAGGAAATTGGCCTCCCAGGACTGCCAGCATCCACTGCCTTCCTCCACTGCTTATCTTGTCTCTGGGTCCCAAGTGCTCAGAATTGTCTGTCCAGTGCGTGCTGTATATGTCCCTGTGCATCGTTGGCTGTCATTGGGTCCCCACATCTGCAGCAGTATAGAAGCAGGGACATGTGGTCACTTTGGCCCAAATGTGTATGTCTGTCTATCTTTGCTCTTGGTGCCTCCGTGTGCACACCTGTCTGTGTGAGTGTCTGGATGTCTGTCTAGCTGAAATTGATGTGAATCACATCACACCCACATGGTGAGGAGCCTCATTCCAGGCTGGCACTGGTGTGCCAGTGTGTGCTCACCAGCTTGTGCTCATGGAGTGGAATTCTTGGCAGGTTGAGAGGTGGGGAGCTATGAGGGGCTGGGCTCTGCTGGGAAGGAAATTACAGAGCCTGAGACACACGCATTGAGGCCACAGCAGCTGGAGCCCAGGCTGCCTCCACCCCACCCGTAGGCCTGGCACCTCCCAGCTCTGAGCTGGCTGACAGGGATGTAGGCACAGTGAGAGACGGGAGGGACTGGGTGTGTGAGTGTGTAGAGAAGCATAGAAGAGAGACTGGGAGCATTAGACCTTGCTAGATGCTTATTCTATTCTATTGAATTGAAACCAACTCCTAGCTGGCCTTCTAGTGGGTTTTTGAGGCAGTAAATCTCATGGGAGAAGACTGCCCATCTTTCTCCTGTGGAGCAGCTGGTAGATTCAGTTTTGAATTGGCAGGGTGCACCTCTTTCCTGCTAAGCTACCATAGCTCCCTTGCTAGATGCTAGTACCCCTAAAAAACTCATCCTCACCTCTCTTAGTATTGTTACATGCCGTTGAGTTAGAACCAACTCAGCTGACCCGCCCATGAGTTTTCAGAGGCAGTAAACTGCACAGGAGGAGAATGTCTGTCCTGCAGAGCAGCTGGTAGATTTGAACCGTGTGCCTTTGGATTGGCAGCAGAACTCCTTACCACTAGACCACCAGAGCTCCGTATGTGGTCTGTAGATACTCATATAAAAAACTTGATGAGAAAATCACTCATTCGACCCCTCAGTCTACCACCAGAATAGACTCCTCTAGTCACTTTAATTTCAGCTGGGCAAAGCTAATGGGGTGTGTGTGTGTGTGTGTGAGAGAGAGAGACAGAGAGAGAGAGAGAAGATGGAGTGCAGCATACATCCCACCCCTCCCTCAGCTTGGTTACTTTGCTCACTCTCATGCCCACTCCTGTCTTGAGGTGGTAGAGGTCTCTTCTGAGGCCCACAGCATGGTCTGAACCCTTTCAAAGGTTTACTGCTGAGCCCAGGCCTTTGTCACATCGTAGAGCCCCTTGACTGGGAAGGTGAATGCACTTTGTGTGGGAGGTCTTTGGATTCCAAGGTGTGAGTCACCTTCTTTCCAAAGGAGTGCTGCCCTCTCTGCTCCCCACAGCAGTTGGAAGATGACAGGGGAGGCTCTCCCTATCCTGGAGCAAAGGGGCCCAAGGTCAGCCTTCAAGGCCCCACTAAAGAGGGTGGGACCGGAGAGACTAAGGGAGCAGGTCAGAACCCAGCAAACTGGGGATGAGGTTTAGACCAGCCCACCTTGTCCAGGGCTGTGAGAAAAGGCATCATCTCTACTTTCAGGAGCTTACCACTCAGATGGGGTACCAAACTGAGCCCAGGAATGCTGATGGGCCTGTAGTGAAATGATAATTTCAAGGGAGTATGTGCAGTAGGGCAGCTTGGTGGGCTAGGGAGTGAATTCTGAGCAGCTATGGGTCGAGATGGTGTACTGAGAGGTGTGTGGAGTTGAAAGTCTAATCTGCTGTGTTCAGCTGGAAGGCAACGGGCAGTGAAGCCTAGGCTGAGTGTTCCACAGTCAGCCTGGGTGGGACCCATTCAGATATAAGGATGGGCAAGGCCTGTAGCCCTTCTGGAGCCTTCTATCTTCATCTTAAATTATTAACACCTTGGGCTTCTGTGGGGACTCAGTAAGTTAAGAGGGCAGGTGCTTTGGATATTTCATTTTTCAGCATGATGGGTGTTTATAGGATCCCTGGGTAGGTCCCAGGGACCTTGCCTCTGCTAGCCTCAGTCTTCCTCCCAGAGCCTGGCATCACAGCGGGAGGCCCGGAGCAGAAAGAGTCCAGCCCCAGGGCCAGTCTGTTAAGGGCAGAACTGCACAGGGTATTAATTCACTTTCAAGCCAGCACAAGAACTTGGAAACAACACAGATACCTGCCCCAGACCAATCGGACCATAATTTCAGTGGGTGCGCAGGTGTGTTGAAAAGCTCCCCCAGAGAGTATTGTTCAACCAGGATTCCTCTGAAAACCCAGGCCTGTGAATCAGTGGTTTTCAAACATTTCCAGCGGCAAGACTCTGCCTTCCCACTAGCAGTTCTCTGAGTGTGGTCTTCAGACTGCCAGCCCCAAAGATCTGGATCTCCTGACTTGGAAGCTCTGCAGGTCCAGCAGTCAGTTTGGGAACCACTGCCTAAACTGATAGCATGCTGAAAGGACACCGGGTGTGCTGGATTTGGGGGTGGGAGTGGAGAGGGGATCTGGCAGGGAGGGGCCCAGGCCTAGATTTGCTGGGAGTTTAGGGAATTCCTGGACTGAGGGCTTTGAATCTAAAACCAGGAGAGTCTCAACTAACATGAATTGGTCACCCTGTCAGTTCCCCCAGGGGGCTCTGGTGGCCTAGGAGGTCAGGAATTGCATGGCAAACCCGAAGAGAGGCTGTTTGAATGTGACAGCCACTTGTCAGGAGTAGGATGCAGTCTCCTTGCTAGCTATTTACAGTTTCTGAAAACTTGAGAGTCAGCTATGAGTTGGTAATGACTATAGATGGCAAGAGAGAGTTCAGTAACCATCCTTATTCTCTAGGTTCTGGTGACCTAGTGGTAAGAAGTGTGTGCTGCAATCCCAAAGGCACATGGTTCAAACCCACCAGCTGCTCCACAGGAGTTGGATGGGCAGTCTCCTGTGTAATTAACTATGTCTAGAAACCCGCTGGAGGGTCAGCTTTGGTCAGTTCTGACTCAACATTATACAACACAAGCATCCTTATTCAGTTCATTTCAACAGGTATTGAGAACTTGCTTGGGGCCCAGCTCCAGCTCCTCATCTTTTCGATGTTCTCACTGAGGTCCCCTCCCCGCTCCTCCCAGCTAGGTTTCCATCTGTCCAGCGAACATGGGTCAGGGGTAGACCAGCCTCTGGGCACCTCTTTGCCCTCCTGCCCGCCTTGCTTCACAGGGCTCGGTGCTGGCACTCCAAGCCTCACGAGCCCAGGCCTCTGTCCTCCCAGCAGACAAGCCAGCATCGAGTGGCACAAGGTGCCAAAATCTCACTTGAGTTGGCAAAAGCAGCAATTAGCATCTAATGAGGCTTCTTGCTTTATTTTTAGGTAACCTCCAAGGCCCTGCCTATGTAATTCAGCCCGCCATTGCTCGGCAGATAATTAAAGCATGTCACCATAATTTGCCTTTTTCTTTCTTTTTTTTTTTTTATAAAGCCCCACAATTATGTTTTTATTACTAGTGAGGGAAGAAAAGAGAGGGAAAGAAAACAGAGAGAGGTGGAGTTGGGCAGGAAATGGGGTGGACCAGTCTCAGTAGAACTCCTCCCACTTCACCTGCAGAACTGGGGCCCTTACAGCTTTCCCTGGGTCCTACTGTCCTTCCAGGCTTCACCCCAGCAGAACCTTCCTTTAGACCCTCTTTGTTGGAAATCTGCCCCTTCTCCCACAGGGGAGAGTCCAGTAGTCATGAGTTGATGATTCTCAAGTGGCAATGAGCACATGGCTGTTCTTTGTACCACTCTTTTTTTGCAGATGTTTGGAATCCTATATTAAAAAGTTAAATAAAAATTCACTCCCAGGAGTGGGTTTGCTGGTTTTGTATCTGCTTACATGGGTGTGACTACGATGGTTTTTCTCGATAACTATGAGGTGAAGGGCTGTCTTTATGCACCTAGAAATGTGTTCCAGTCATTCTTTTGATGCCAGTGGATGGTAGTGGGTGGGTCCTTGTTGGGACTTCAGAAATC